ACTATGGAAACTTCTTCGACACTACGGCGTGCCCCAGAAGATAGTCAATATCATACAGAACTCATATGATGGATTACACTGCAAAATTGTGCATGGAGGACAGTTGACAAAGTCATTCGAAGTGAAGACCGGTGTTAGGCAAGGTTGCTTACTCTCACCCTTTCTCTTTCTCCTGGTGATCGACTGGATCATGAAGACGTCAACGTCTGAAGGGAAGCGCGGGATACAATGGACACCTAAGATGCAGTTGGATGATCTAGACTTCGCAGACGATCTGGCCCTTCTATCCCAAACGCAACAACAGATGCAGGAGAAGACGAACAGTGTGGCAGCGGCCTCAGCAGCAGTAGGTCTCAACATACACAAAGGGAAAAGCAGGATTCTCCAATACAACACAGAATGCACCAATCCAATCACAATTGACGGAGAAGATTTGGAAGATGTAAAAACCTTTACATATTTGGGCAGCATCATTGATGAACTGGGTGGATCTGATGCAGATGTGAAGGCGCGGATCGGCAAAGCAAGAGCAGCATATTTACAACTGAAGAACATCTGGAACTCAAAGCAACTGTCAACCAACATCAAGGTCAGGATTTTCAATACAAATGTCAAAACAGTTCTACTGTATGGGGCAGAAACCTGGAGAACTACGAAAGCCATCATCCAGAAAATACAGGTGTTTATTAACAGTTGTCTACGCAAAATACTTCAGATCCATTGGCCAGACACTATTAGCAACAACGTACTGTGCGAGAGAACAAACCAGATTTGAGCGGAGGAAGAAATCAGGAAGAAGCGCTGGAAGTGGATAGGACACACATTGAGGAAAGCACCCAACTGCGTCACAAGACAAGCCCTCACATGGAATCCTCAAGGTCAAAGGAGGAGAGGAAGACAAAAGAACACATTACGCCGAGAAATGGAGATAGACATGAGAAAAATGAACAAGAATTGGATGGAACTAGAAAAGGAGGCTCAGGACAGAGTGGGTTGGAGAATGCTGGTCGGTGGCCTATGCTCCATTGGGAGTAACAGGCGTAAGTAAGTAAGTAAGTAAGTAAGTAAGTAAGTAAGTAAGTAAGTAAGTAAGTAAGTAAGTAAGTAAGTAAGTAAGTAAGTTATTTCTAAACTGTACATCTATCACTGACCATATTTCATGATCACTGTCATTAAACAATTTCCCCATCAATAACATCGGTAGCAAGATAGCTAAGTGTCTGAGCTTTTAGTTGCTCGCAAAACAGCAGTATACAGTCTTAGAAGATGAGTGTTCTGTGTCTCAATTAAATGCAGCTGGCTGTGGACAAAGGTTAAGAATCTTTTTGACAACTGGGACTTTTAGTTTATCAGACACTTACTCTGCTTGTATGTTGTCCTGTTAAACTAGACACAGATGCATGGGAATACTTAAATGGGAGCAAAATAATAAAAACATTGCAATACGGTACTAAGCCCATGTTATGCTTTGCGCAAGTAATAGTAGCTGACCTTATCTAATATTCATGAACTCAAGGTAAATCACAACTGCATAAATTCTTTGCTAAAAGCATGTGATTTGGTTATTTATATATTCCACATTTCTGACTAAATTCATCACCATTTTTTCATTTAGAATGCAACAGGAGTGAGTCTTCACAGATCATAAAAACTGTTTCGCCCTTAGAACTATGGCCCTATGGAACTGTTTACGGGAGATCCAACGAACAGCAGATGATAAAAAGGATGCTGGACTTCCATTTTAGTCTCACAACCACTTCCAGTATTTTGTGACTTCTTTTACTCTTTCGTTTGGAAAAAAACAACAAAAACTGCAGCTTAACATTACCAATACAACTTTTAAACGGGAACTTGGTTTAAACCTTTGTTTGATATTCGATCCTTGATGAAAGTTCTTGAATAAATTTTTGAATCTAATGCTACTTTGTTTTATGTACTTAATCGTCGCAAGAAACTTGTGATAAGCGAGCCTCTCAGCACCTAGTTCATGTGTTCAAATGGTTGTGGACTGAATAGAAGAAGCTTTCGCTTAACAGGCTTCCGTGTCTAGTAGCAGGGGATCACCAATACCTCAAGGCAGGAAACTAGGTATGTTAACAATAAAAGAGGAAAAAGAAATTGGTAAATCATAGTATGATACTATACTTAGTCCTTAAGAATAAATCCAGTTGCCTCTTAAAGGACTCCTGAGAAGTCGCTTGAACTAGCTCGGCCGGCAGAAAATTTCAGCATTTGACAACTCTTAAGGAGTAGAAGTTGTGCCTACAGTCCGTTCTGCTATGTTGTGTCTCTAGTTTCTGGGTGTTACCCCTTAGGTCATTGTTGGAACTAAGCTTAATTTGTTGTTTTAGGGGATGTCCAGAAGTGTTAAGATTATTGTAAGCCATTAGGTCACCTCTAAGACGTCTATACTGTAATGAGTAGAGGTTAGGTGATTGGAAGCGCTCTTCATAAGGTGATTTGGTGCATATCTTCGTCATTTTCTTGGGAAATCTACGGACTCGGGTCCTCTCATAGCTTATTTTAACCACCAAGGGTTGTCACGACAGCTGATGGATGGACACGCATTACACATCCTAACCGTACCTGCGTCTCATCTTATAGCTTCTAATTAAAATGCCATATGACAAGCAAGCAATGGCCTACCCTCACTAATGGAACACTAGTAATTCAAATGCACCCCGTATGGTACCTTAAACTGGTTTACGCACTCGCTTAGCTCTTTAGTGAGAATATTAATACGGTATTGCTGAAAATCCCATGAACCCCCCTACCTCCATCAAAACAAATATGTCTGTATTTGCTGCATATAGCAATTTTATTATTCAAAAGGTATAACAGTTAGAATTAGAGTAAAATGGAAGTATACTGCAGATGCACGTGGTACATGTCTTCATCGATTAACTGAAATAGAGAATACGGATATTAGCTTAACAGGCCTATTTAGAAAGACTAGTGTCTAATTTGAACTTACTGCGTGAGAAAGTTATACTGGAACTACGAATGTTGTAGAAATAGAGTTCCCCGGGGCGTACGAAGCACTCAGACTGTAAGACAGTTGTCCAAAAATAATTCGAATATGAAGGTGAAAATCTGCAGGTACTTTTCATCATAAGGGTGAACATATTAGCTTGCTTTAACGCACTGAGTAATGAGTACAATCCCTCTGTTACTGTTATATGGCATATTTTTCATAACAAACCCTGCAATAGATTGACAGCATCTGTGACTTCATAACATAACCGATTGTCGTTTAAAAACGTAAGGTCTTATGTTAGTACTAGCCAGCTTAGCAGAATAAATACAGTGACTTCATTAGCAGCAGGTAAAACCCAGAAAACAAAGCAAAATCAGGGAAAATTTTGCTTCAACGTTCAGAGCATTACACTAACTTCTGGATTTTAGCACACTGAAACATCAAATTCTGTAGCTACACAAAAGAAATAGCAGAAAAAAGCACAGAACGAAGAAAACCGACCGTCATTGCTTACAAAGATGGCGGACGTAATAATTCCCGCCTCATTCTGATTGGTTGCTAAGTTGAAGGGCACATTTACGAAATTGAGTTGCGTTTAATTGCAGCCAACTGGAGCGGCTTGCACCTGACGAGGAAGTCAAGATAGAAAGTCCTTGATCAAAGTTTTGTTGTCTAGCTACCTTCCTTATACGTAGCAATATTTCTGCTGCTGAACAGCACTGCAATTCGATATTGCTGAAGAGTCGATATAGTGTTTTGCAATCGGTTAGCTTTCTCTGTTTAAGGACGACCTTTTACAAAGTGTCTTAAGGTTCTGAAACATCGCCAGCAAACGCACATGTTGTTATCGCATCGTACTGCCTTCATTACACTGAGGAAATTTGCACGTGGATCTGTTCGGCTGGGCTAAGAAAGTCAGTTTCTGTGAAGCAGGACCAGACCTCAATATTCTTGGGCCATAACATCATGAAGTGCAAGATGGGTGGCGTGATTCTTAAATCTTAATAATTTAGATATATTTTATGACATGATAAGAGAGAATATATAAACATGCAAGAAATGCTTGAAATACTAAATCAATGTCTCATAGAGTAAATATATGTGTATAAATTGTTATGAGGAAAAAACTCATAGTTTATCGGCTGGAGTAGTAGGGTACGTCCGACCCACCACTAAAGACGTCACTGATATTTAGGATTTGGCCGCGCTTTTTTCCGTAACACCTTTGTAGTCGAAAGATCTTAAACATAAAAATGACACAAGTATTCAGAGTTTGACAACACCCTGACAAGCAACAGTTTTTATGACCAAAACGTGCCTACCCGGTGAAACCAGACCTTATAAGCAATGATAACCGAAGATGTACTGGACAGAATATCGATATATCGAGAAATGCCTAATCCAAACTGGCCAACGATTATGTGTGATGTGAAGCACGGCGTACACACCCGCTATCTGATGCGGATGCGTGACCGAGCACCTTCAGCCTTGGTGTGTCCAGTTGAACTAGTGAGGTTAGTATTATTATTAAAGACACATAGGACTGTTTATTTAGTGGATTCATTCATCACTAAAGAGGGATTGGTGTAACCACTGCTTTTCTATCTCTTGAGTTAATGACAAGATAGTTTCGAACTTCAGCTTCCTGGTGGAACGTAACTAGAATCATAGTTCTTCACAGCGATCAAAGCTCTACAAATAGACAAATTCAGAAAAAAACGTAATGAACTGTTTCTCACAATAAGTATCATTACCAAGGTTTGACTTGATAATTTCGAATAAATTGAGCATTGGTTAGATTGGTAAATAAATAATATATTTGTAATAGCCTATGAGGTATCGGTGATAAACTGGTGCTAAATCTCGTTGAGCGCAAATGTTATCTAACTTGTCCAAAGAAACCTCAAGGACTGAGTCAGGTAAACGGATTTAATGCATTTATTACCAAAGATTGAACATCGACGGTTTATAGCGCGGACGGTTTGTAGTCTCTGTTACTGTGATATCGTGTAGACTTTATTCGATGGCTCTCTTTACTCCTACGAACCAAAAACGGTTGACTAACATATCTGTAGTTCGCCTTAAAAAAGGTGGTAATCGTTACGAGTTGGCATGTTACCCAAACAAAGTGCAAGCTTGGCGAGACAAGCTGTACGTTATGAACTATCAAATTACGCTACAGTGAAACAAATTTAGATGAAGTTTTACAGGCTCATTGTGTCTTCACGAATGTCTCAAAAGGTCAGTTCGCTAACAAAAAGGAAATGTATGTGCATTTTTGCACAGAAGATGAAAGACAAATAATAAAGACAGTAGGCTATCGTTATAATATCCCAAGTTTTTAGATACTAGAACATGGAGAATTACAACTCACAGAAAAGGAACGCCTTGTAGGACAACAGGCTTTGTTTAGAGATGTGGCTAAAATAGTGTCTGAAAGATGCGTAAACCCTGAAAACAACCGGGCATACACTGTCACGATGATAGAGAAGATGATGAAAGATTGTCACATATCCCTAAAGGCTAATAAAAGTGCTAAACAGCATGTAAGTTTAGTAGCAATTCGAGTCGCTCCAGGCTTTAGAGGTAATTAAACAGTTACGGTCGGCTCCTGGATTTAAAATTGCTCCTTCAATGATGGAAGTGAATATTACCATACAGAAAGACTCATGTGAACCTGTTATCGAGAGACTTTTGCAACTATGCAATGATATCATACAACAAAGTGAATCATCCGATGGACTTTACGACTTGGTTAGTTTGGATTTATCATCTCCGATAAAGTTTATCACCTAATCTGATGTCATCCGTCTTTTTTATGACATGGAACTTCTGCTTTTATATATCTTTAGACTTTCCTATACTGTTTTTGAGTAGTCGAATTCCTAAGCTTCCTGACGACTGATATTGTCCAAACGGCCTCCTAGGAGTCATTCAAGAAGAGATTTGACATGTTCTTAAAGGCTCAGGACAGTATTCCACTATAGGATATCACCATTTCTCTTCGGGTCGTCGGGTTCTGGTCTGGATGAATCGGTGATGCACTGCTACTAAATGAGGAAACCTGTTAAGAGGAGAATTCTATTCCACCTCCCACCATTTGAACCATTATTATTTAGAAGTAATACTACCGGTTTGGTATAGAGGTGTTATGTTCCCTAAACTGGAGAGTGAACAAAACCCAAACAGCTTATCTGGCGTCATCATGATGGTTAATCGGTCGCTTCATATTGACATATAAGTTTACTGTTTCATTCACAAATTTGGTATTTCTTTTCGTCTGCTTCAAAACCAGCACTAGCTATATGTATACGTTGACAAAAGTGATGGCTGGCTCAGTACACTTGAAGTTAATTCATACAGTGTGGAGCTGACACATCGTTAAGTATATCACAAAATTGCAATTTTTGACCGAATTCAGTCAGATATGTTTTGAAATACACAGTCATCCTCCCAAGCCAACGTAACAATCGATACCATTTCCAAGGTCCTTTAGTGTCAGAAATGGGAAAGTGTATATCCCGCTTGGGTTTGACGGTATTTTGGCACACTTTATCTACAAACATGTCTCTCCATCCTTGTGGAGTTTTTTCTTTACCTTTTGCTTTGACATCATACTTCACCTCATCCCCAACTGGTGCCCTAAAATAAATGCCATTTCAACATCCAAGTTATGCTTCACATAATACAGTATATTTTGTTGACTATGACTGGAATTCTACACTATAGGACTATCTCGTGTCATCGAGGCTGCCGTACAAAATTTAAGAGTGATTATTCGCTCAACCTAGAGGAACATGTAGGGTTTTTAATCGAAGAATCAATACATGCAGGAGGTTTGCATGAATTCACCAAATTCCGATACGTTTGACTCGTGCAATACGTCTACTTGCCTGTCGAAAACACAGTGAACTGTGCAGTAGTCTCGTGTATTAGCTAATAGCTGCATAATAGCCTATTTCATTGAGTCTGTACAAGCCGGGGGTAATATGATGTGCTAAGTGGATTGTTAAAATGTGCCTCCTGAGTGAGTAATGCTATAGTTATCGATGTACTAGATAAACTTAATTTATTGGTTAGTCATACTGTAGAGTTTTTTGGGACATTTCACATATGTCTTGTTATTACGTGTCCCAAAATGTTAATGTTGTGGTAAAATAGAACAAGAAACCTAAGATGGTCAGGTCGAGTTTGCTTTAATACTACAAATCATTGTGTGTGGAACTGCATCATGTTATAAGGTTGAATCGCTTGGTTGGAGTTTGTGAGACAATCCTAATCTGTGCCTAAGGACTGCTGACAACATTTCGGAATGCATTCACTTTTTAGCCCTCTATAAGTTTTGATATTAGTTGATATTTTTATTTACCAAATTAACACAATTTTGAGTTCATCTACATTTTTAGTTTTCTGTCGATCCTTCGGTGTACTGATGAAAAGTTTGGCAACTTGGACTAACGCATATTTGTTTCAGGTCCTGGGTTGTTTATGATTTAGACTACATTACATCTATTTTCGCGAACATTCGTTAAATCTTAAAGGCTAAATCAACTCGAATTCCCATACTGTTAGCATGTTAGTATATTTAGTGTGTTTTATTTTGTCGTATTCAAGAAAGCTTCATGTTTTACTTTTAAGACCGCTGTTGTTGAACCTGAGAAATATGGCTCTATCGAAACACTTCTCCACAACGAAATAAAGGGTAAATATTCCATAGAAATTTCCGATGGTACGAAGTGTAGTCACAAAGGACTCACAAATTTAAACTCTGCTTTAACAGTAAAAACAGAAGTTGGGGAAAGAAAAGTTGTGAAAAATGTTCCAGATAAAAATGTTTCATCTCAGTTGAATGACAACAGGATTACTCAGTCATCTGAAGCCTCAGTTTCTGTTGAAAAGAAAGGCAAAAATACGTCCAAGAGAAAGAATAAAAAAGGTTCCAAACGTAATGATGATTGGTCTGATGACTAATCTAGCTGATTGCTGTGATGTTAACTTAGTCTTCAACCAGTCGGATTTATAATGATTTGTTTTCTTCTCTACCCTTAATGTGTATCATAAATTAATAAAGTCAATTTTTTATGCTCTGACTTCCAAATTTAAATATCTGACTTCAGCGCCATTCAGGTTACTATCAGTCTATAAAACCTCATTATTACTGAGATACAGTGGACTTCGTATATCTCATTTGATATCGATTATCTAAATGTTAGAGCTTGTTTTTCTGTCACTTCACGCAACCGGACTCATTGATATCTACATGCTTAAAGGCTAACCGAAAAACATATGAATTGAGAGCTAGCGTGTTTTGGTAGCTTTGCATTCGTTTGTCATTGTAATGCGATAAACCATGTTTGAAGGAGCTTTTAACCACTTAAATAACCAGACTTTGTAATTGAAAAAGGATATTCAAACCAGTTATTCATAGACCTGCAAGCAAAGTTAAGCTGTCTTCTTGCCATCCTTAATAATACAGTTAACGTCAGTAATGTCAAGCTTGGTTCACTGTTCGTGAGAACAGTTCTCTAGTACATAAGGAAAGTCTGTTTTAGAATGATCACGAATTGAACGAATATGCGTTCTTACCTACAAAAGCTGCTTTCTAAGTCAGCCCTAGAGGTCAAATCCTTTTCCATTTCTAGTGATAATATTAGATGCTTATGTATATAGTTCTCTGGACATCTTTAGATCGGTAAATCTTGTTGATGTGTTATGGAATTTCGATTTCACAGATTCGTTTATTTTTACCTAAAGAAATGTCATGTTTATCCTAGGAATCGCTCAGTTATAAATGACGAAACTGAAGATATATCTTCAGACATGCTATGTTTATCATTTCTAGTAGCTAGTTATTCATACGCTCAGACAAACTCTTCGAAAGCGGCGAGACTAATTTAGAGACGAGCCAATCAGATGCGTTTGAGCAATTTCAAGGTCACGGAGCCAAGTTCAACACGCGGTACTAACGTACAACCTGTTCACAGCGGATTTTAGAGAGGTGATTAATGAGAGGTTACAACATGTGAGACGGCTAGACTCTAATTTAGGGACGAGTAAGTGAGAAGCGTCTGAGCGATTTCAATTATTAGCCTATCAGAAGACAGTATAAAGTAAAAATATATTACAAGAAAGTAATGAATTACAGTGGATATTCTTCTTTTACATGAATAAAAAACTTGTTAAGATTAGATAGAGGCTCAGAATTTCTGAATTCATAATGCATACGGAATAGAAACTCGTGCATAGGGTTAAGGTTAGGCTGCTAACATGAGATCGGATTTCAGAGATGTGTTTATTGAGGGGCTACAACCCTAACCCTATGGACGAGTTCCTATACCATATGCATTAAGAATTCAGAACCTCTGAACCTTTATCAAACCCTAACAAGTTTTTAAATCATGTAAAAGAACAATATCCACTGTAATTCATGACATTCTCACTGTATACTAAGTGTCCTCTGATTAGCTAACAATTGTCAAGGTCATTTTCGATTCGTTCAAAGGTCGTCCCTAAACTAGTCTCGCCGCTAGGGGTGAGTTCTGAAAGATGTTGGACTAAGGATTGTGAACTTGCTTGATTACAAGACAGTGATCTAAGGTCTAAGCTATGAAAATTTAGCTTTATGAAGTTCAATATCGGTGTGCGGTTTTACTGATTGTCTGAACTGTGAAGCCCACGAGGACAGTCGGCACTGTGGTTGGTCACTTTTAACTGACGCCAAGGTCATCCTTGAAATAGCTCAGGGTCACGACCATGATTTGGTTTCTTGTTCACTTACTGTAGCCAAATTACCCGAGTCCACTCAAGGTCGTCTTAGCACTAGATCATGTTGAAGTCCTGTGACCTGCTGATCATGATCAGAACTGCAGTTCTGTGAACAAGGATTTATTGATAACATTATTGTTTTAAACTTTTGTGACGATTACAATAAGTAAGGAATTTCCCCGACATACTAAAAAATATGGTTTTATCAGTCTTTATCCGAGCTCTCACTTTTGGGGGAAATTTGGCACATTTTGGGGAAATGGCACAAAAACCCCGAAATTTCCCCAAACTTTGGGGATTTCCCCAAGGTTGGGAACTTGGGTAGTAATAAGGATAGTAGGGTGGTGAACCAGTGTTAATCTAATAAAACAAATGGATTTCCCCCTAGTTTTTGAAATTTCTGCGAATATATTTAGAACCCAAAATCGAGAGATCGAAGTTAACCTCGATATTACGTGTTGATCTACAGGACTTTTATTGTGATCTGTTCAACTCCTATAACAACTTCAATGATCGATGGGCAGACATAGCAGACTGTTCGTTACTTCCCATTTGCACCTGAGTTTTAGAAAGAGGATTATTGCTCGGCCACTGTATTAAAAAATATCTCACTGTATCTGAGTGGCTTTCCACAGTTAATCTCAACCAACTGGGATCTCGCATGGTAGCAAGACCCAGTTATTAGTTCGTGGAATGTTCAATCTAGGTGATTTGATTAGTTACATTCTCATTTTCCAGTTTATTTGTATCCCTTAGACTTCCCTATCATTTCAGATAGTTGTTTGCATGTATTTATTTACTTTAGAACTTCCTGTTCGTTTATCTGGCTGACAACTTGAAGATTTTATGCTTGTCCAATGTTTATGAAGCATGAATATATATTATTATGACTTTTCTTGATTCACCCTTACTATCAATTTAAATGGACTCATTACTGATGTTAAATTATTTAGATGGTTGTGGACAGAGTAGAAATTTTTTTTACCAAACATGATTTTGTATCTAATAGCAATGGGTCAGCGGTGCTCCAGATAGAGATTTAGGTACTGTAAACAAACAGTAGAGAAGTAATATTGAATTAGTGTTATATGCTATCATGGGACCTTAAAAATATATCAAGTTTCATCTTGAAGGTCTCCTGGAAAGCTGTTCGAACTACCTTAGTCGGTGGCGAATTCCAGGACTTGACTAATCTTAAGGTATGTCTACAATCCATCTTTCTATATTGTACCTATAATTTCTGGGTATTAATCCTCAGGTTTGTGTCGGGACTGGACCTAAGTAGGTATCTTTAAGGGTGTCTAAGTCTTCAAGATGGTACAAGTCATTAAAAGATCTCCTCTTAGTTGCCAATACGTAATTTGGTATCGATCTTTTTCGACCTGAAACAATTAGAGATCATTGCCTAGGTTGTATTGTTAGTCTTTCTTAAGTTCCAGCTTATAATCCCGGTTATAAACGTCTCTCCAAAGCTTATCGTAGTAAGCGAAAAGGAGTATTTCGGATGATACTTGCAGAGGAAGGTCATTCCTACAAGTTTGAAAGGAAAGAGGTCCTAGTACCGAATCCTGAGGGGCTTCATCAAGACGTTCTGAGGCCAGAGAAAAGTTAAACTTGAAAAGCTTGAAAATTCGACTTTGTGAATATGAGTTATATCAGTCTATATGTGGTGGTGTTCTCTCACGAAATCGTAATGTTGGAGTATAAAAAGTTCTCCAACGTTGGAAAATGAAGCCTTCAAAATGCTATATTATCTATGCTTCTGTCCTATACCTTTTTATTTGATTTGTTGCTGCTAAATTACTCAAAGCATGTAGTTTCATTGCCAACACGGGATTTGTAGAGTAAGACAGTCCGTCAGGTGATTTTGGGTTCAGAGAAGCTATTGTCATTGTTTACGTTCAAAAATTCCAATTAGCAAAAAAGTATGGGAAAGTTTCGTTGCGCTACTCTGGTGCTTTTTTTAACAATCTCACTTAACCTATTTTCTATGTTGTTTAATAAACGGACCACTATAGGAATTCTCGAACTACCTAAAACGACTTTTGTTCTGGCTGATATGTTTTCCTGTCTTTATCTTGATCTCGTCAGTGTTGTTAAACGAGTTATTGTTGTATCATTTTGTACATTTTCTGTTAACGTTTTTAAAATTCAACGTAGTGCCCAAAGTATCGACCACGGGTATTTCAGAATACTAAAAATAAAATAAAGACACCCAGAATATATCTCATTAATCTTTTTAGTTACTCAGTATACTTTAAGGCTTTTAATGGCCCTCCATGGCTCAGCTTGCTCAAGATCTCATCTATGGGCCTGCAAAAGAAATAATCTGCAGATCACTACAAGGATCTAGTTATGAAATTTACACTGAAGTTAGTTTATCAGAATCACCGAGTAATCAGCCTAAATATTTGAATCAAGTATGACGAATCGTAAATCATTTTGGCTAGAAACAGTACAAAAACTTGTCCATATTTTTAACTTGTGGTGACAAACCGTATAGAATCAAATGAAATAGGTGCGAATGTATAGCTCATATAGTAGTGCATTCAGGTGTATTATTATGTGAAGACATTTCGGATTGAGATTAAATTTCAGCTATATTGTCATGGCTCTTCAATACTCAGTAACCATTTTCCAAATACCAGCTAGATCATCAATAGTTTGGTCTATCACAAACCAGCGGATAGTTCATGGATCGATAGCGTGTTTTATTTTGATGTTGGAGTTTGCGTTTAACTGTAGTAAGCATGAAACCGCGAAGTGGGTATTGTTTTAAACTTTTTAAGATTTATTTCAATCTTTTTGAGTTAATGGTCTTTACCCTGTTGCTTACGTTTACTCAAAATAATACATGACCATTTCATAGCACTATTTATTTATTATTTTCTTCACATAAGTGCTTTTTGTACGCAAGTGTGTCATCTGTTATAGTTCTTTTGAAACTTTTACTGTTTTAGGTATAATTACAACATGAGTTTACTAAAAAATGTTCATCATGTTCGATTCGCTACCAAAAGTTTATGGCAGACTTGTAAAACACTAATAAAAGGTTTCGGTTTCACGCTCCACTGTTTGTTCAAATGCGGTTCAGAAATAAATCTAGTGCTAAAAAGTAATCAATCGGTAATAATGCTTAGCGAAATCAAAACATTGTCCAGTGTTCATCACCCATTTAAGTACCATTCAGAAATCAGTAACTGGTGTACAAAACGTGATGGACCATGTGACATTGCTTTAGAAGTAGTTGACGTGTATGAAGTTTGTGAAAGGGTTTCCCGGTTTTCTGGGTTTGAGAACATTCTTTTGGAACCTACTACTTATGCTGATTATGACGGAAAAATTGTTTTAGGAGTAATCAAGTCATGTGTTGGGGATTTGCTTCATACGATTGTTGACTCGTCACAGTATAAAGGCTTGTTTTTGCCTGGATACACATCGGGACAGAGTGCAAATGATGACTTAAAGGAAGCACTAAATAACAATGGATCGAATCCCAATTCTTTTGTGAAATATACTGACCATATAGCAATCGCTGGGGATATTGGAGATTCAGATACTTTTATGAATTGGTACAAAACAGTATTTGGAATGAAACGCATATTCATTAATATGTGAGTTACTTAATAGTTTATGATCATTTATGGATGCTAAAACAGACAGGATGATGAATCCCAAGGGTTTATAGTAAAGTTCAAAAATACTGGAATGATTTTGAAGGCAGTTTGTCATAAAGATCCAACTTCGAATTCTGATTATCGTAATGCATGCAAATTTGTCTTTGTTGAGCCCACAAAAGATTCAGGTATGTTGCGTAAATGCATTAAGCTTCATTGTTGGTTGGTTTTTCAATTATAGATATTTTTTGCATATTAATATATATTCACAAGAGATAAGTTTTATCATGACTTTATGTCGGGCTAGTCATCACGTGATTTATCCACCAATCAGAATACAACTTATGCAATCTTAGCACTGTGCCAAACTAATGACGATCGACCGGTATAAGCACCTTAGCGTCCTTATTGGTCCTATGTCCGCCTAGCCTGTCCACTTGAGTCCAGAACACCAATACCAGCTTCCAATATGTGAATCGAATCATTTATTTCAGAAATACTGGGTTTATTTATCAACCAAACAGACCGCTGCGCATAATAAAATAGAAAATAACATTTGTACACAATAAAGCCCAAAGTGGCTGTGAACGTGGGAGACAGTAGTCAATAAACTGAGCATAGCTTACGAGCAGTAAATCATACAATGATAAATTATAGGTCAAAATGAAGCTTATTATAAGAGGAATATAAATATACATAATCCAATTATTGAATAGTTATACCATAAGAGTATATTGATAATATTAGTCAATTAATATGTCTCAGAAGTTACTCGTGATTTGATCTTCGCTCGGATATAACAAGTTTGGTAGTGATAAAATGACTATTAAAGAATCAACAAAAATTGTCCGTTTGTTTGGTATTAATTTTAGCGACAAAAAAGGGTGTTTAGTAGTTGTTACTGTCATGCTACCCACATTGTATTTAATTTTAACCTATTTATCTTTAATGTTCGACAATAGTCCCAGAAAACGTGTCCCGACCGTTGTTGCTACCTTGACGTGGTGGTCGGGCTTCCCTATCGTGATGAAGCAACCGAGCTATACTGGCTGGAACAACCGTTCCTCAAGGTCCTACCATGTCAGACAGGTCGGTTGAAGAGCGGTAAGACTAAAAGCAACAAACTCAAGGTCCGAAGGCGAAGTCGTACTGCTGACTGTACAGAGGTGTGACGGCAGTAAGGTGTTTCCTTCAGACAACCAGCATGACAGCGATGCTGCCTTCCCACAAGGAGGGGTGGGGTTAGAAAAGGTCGACCCTAAAAATGCACACCTCACCTTACCTCACGGATTTCCGTCTCCAGCGGTAAGGCCCTTTGAAGAAAGGAGCACGGATTCAAAAAGCTCGTTTGGCTTTTGCCAACTTACGTCACCTGTGGCGAAGGCGAGATATCCGTCTATTAATAAAAGGACGAGTATACTGCGCGGCAGTCCGTTCTGTTTTAATTTACGGCAGCGAAACATGGCCATTAAGAGTAGAAGACACTCGTAAGCTACTAGTATTTGACCACAGATGCCTTAGAAATATTGCTGGCATCTGCTGGGATCACCGGGTAAGTAATAGTGAGGTTAGACGCAAGGTATTAGGGAATGATGGTAAATCAGTTGATGAGGTTATGAATCTTCATCGACTGAGATGGTTGGGCCACGTGTTACGTATGCCTGAACACCGATTACCACGACGTGCAATGCTAACCGGGGTAGTGGATGGTTGGAAGAAAGTTAGGGGCGGCCAAACCAAAACGTGGCATCAGTGCTTGAAGTCACTAACTTCTAGTCTGAGCCATGTTGGTAGATGCAGACTACTTGGTTGGGGTCCGCGTGACTATCGTAACCAATGGTTGGAGACTCTTGGTGACATGGCTCAGAATCGATCACAATGGCGTCGGTGTATACACTCCCTGTCTTCCCTTAAACTAGGAGATTAAAATCGCTTCATCAGTCAGTCAGTAACAACGTAGAACTTCGTACGTACGTACATCAGTTCGAGTTGCCACACCACATTAGCACAGAGATGCAGTGGTCGATTCAAATCCCGTAGTGGTAGAGGTAGCAAGAGTATAAGCAGTAATCGGGAAGATTAGGGTTTGGAGATGTTATTTAAAGAGTATAATCCAGTGAAAGAAATTTGGAAAGAGGGAAAAAGGGACATGAAGAATTCAGAAGATTAGAATTTGGGAGAACACAAAGAGTGAATGCACCTGCGCCATTGCAAACGATTTTGAGCCATGTCACTCAGGGTCTCTAACCATCGGTTGCTGTCATCTCGCAGTCCCCAACCAGGTAGTCTACACCTACCAACATGACTCAGTTCACTTGTCAGTGACTTCATGGACTTGTGCCATGTTTTGGTTTGGCCGCCCCTAGCTTTCTTCCAACCTACTCCTATACCACTGAACATAGCACGTCGAGGCAGTCGGTCGTTGGGCATACGTAACACGTGTCCCAGCCATCTCAACTGATGAAGTTTCACTACGTCATCAATTGATTTGCCATCCTTACCTAGTACCCGTTTTCTAACAACTGTGTTACTTACTCGATGGTCCCATGATATACGAGCAATGTTTCGAAGACACCTATGATCGAATACTAGTAACCTACGGATATCCTCTACTCTTATCGGCCATGTTTCACTGCCATAAAGTAGGACGGAACGAACTGCTGCGCAGTAAACACGTCCTTTGGTTGATAGACGTGTAAATGAGACCAAGCAACATATTCTTAAAAGATTTTGTGTTGATATATTCGTCTTACCACTAAACTAAATTTACCGGAGCACACAAAACATTGGTGGAGGTAGGTAGAATATGTAGCTCTCTAAATATTTAAGTGGTACTATTCGTAATCGATTGCAACAAAGTTGATGTTTTCATACTTTATCGGGCGCTTTAAGTATAGAATTTTCATTCTGTACATCCACTTGTGCTTTTTTAAACATATTTTTTGCCTGTTTTTAGATAACAGCTTTAGGATATTGATAGAAAAATTAGTTTTTTCCTGTTTCTTAGATATGTTTGTATTATAAAATCAGTTTTTTGTGACCCATGACCAATCAACTGTATATTTCAGTATGATAGTTTACTTAATTTTGTCAAAGTCCGTAGATTGTACAAATGGATTGGTTAGATATCTGAAATTTAAGACAAGGTTTGAGATTATTTTAAGACGAAACGGATCTACTGTAACTAACTAGATCAAGTGGCTAAAACAGAACACTTCAACAATGATAATCTATGTGTGAATAGGTGGAAGAGAAAAAAAGGACTTTCATGAGAGTTTTTATGTCCCAAGGGAAGACATGAGTAAACACCGCAGTATTTATGGCACTGTACAGTGGAAATTAATAAACAAAAATAGACTTGGACGAAGTAAAGTTGCAACATTACAAAGATTAAGGTGTAAAAGCTTACAATAACTATGGTTTTGGTAGCAACAACAACAGGTCTCGATATAATACTGTTTTTGTTCAACCGTAATAAATCGTTTTATGGTTACTATGAAGTAATATTTAAAAAGCATGTATTTTACAAGAGAATGCGTAATTCTTAACGGACTCTCATTCATGCATAGGTTCACTTACTTTTTAAGGCTTTTAGCGCTTTAATTTTTATGTCCTGTGTGGAACAACAATTCCCTTCAAATCGAAATTTTTGTCCCTGTAAGTTGTTTGAAAAATACTTTCCCAGTTGCACAAAGCACCCAGTTTTTATGTTATAAAACCCTTTTAGTTACTTGTACAATGCTAATTCTACTAGTCTTCAGTATTGGTTAGCATTAACATGTTCATTATAATATTCAGGGATCAAAATGCAGTTCGTACATTTTTTCATTCGATTAACGTGAAATATGTTTATTTACATATTTCAAAATTTACTAGCTGACTGGGATAGGATTTGATTAAGAAGTTCTATGAACGGATTAAGTGAAACCTAGCATCAGTTCATAAAGTCATCTGCTGTTGCTGTTGAGTTAAATTTGTAGGTATTTTATTTATTTATTTAAACACATTAACATTGGTACAAGGAGACACCGAATATACGGCTAGGATACTACTCGGGCACCCAAACTGAAACAGGTGGCTTTCTAAGCAGGCCACTACCCCAGCCTTTGACCTAGAGGTCCGATCCTCAAGGCGGTGGAACATTACGAGAAGTAGTCCCATAGTAGCCGGTGTCCAAAAGTAGGTTCATACGCCTTTTGTTCCCTCAGAATCCTGGAGACCATGTTCACCATCGGTTTGGAATCAGGGTTTTCCAGCCTCCTTAGGTGGATCCTTCATATCCACCAACCCGGTTAGAGCGCCGGGCGTTAGCCTTTGGTCGTCTCAACTTCGCAAACAACACCGCATCCGCGAGAAGTGAGTGAGTAGGACTTACTCTGCACTGACTGTATACACGTGGCCATGTGAGAGCATCTCGAGAACGAGAGCGAACTCTCCCCACCCTCAGCCGTACCATCACATTTGGGGACAGGTCAGTCGGTTCATAGTTCTAGCTTAGGAAGAGCTCATTAATTTTAAGCTCTGGCCTAAAATTTTGGATGTTATAACCCAGAATTCGTTGTAGTGGTTCCGTTGCATCCATTTATTTCCTTACTGTGAATTATGATTTTAGTGCCATTTAATTATTCCATTTCATTTGTTCCTTTTAGACTACATTTCTCGTATTTAGTTTCTACTTTAACTGACATTATTAGCTCTACTTATTTACTATCCATCATTTGAATTTGCTTTCACACTATGTTAATGTGAAGTTTGTCGACTTGGGCGTATACACATACGTATCAGGTCTTATATTGTTTGTTAACAACTCATTAGAAACTACATTAGCATCAATGTTTTCAATTTCAGTGTTATTTTCAAAACGAATTTTAAAGACTGATAAAGATTTAAAAGGTGCACACTTCCGTATTAATTTGTTCAACAAAATTTCCTAATAAATAATCTTATTAAAAAGGAAGAATGTATTTGTAAAATCTCAGCGAACTAATTTGAAGTAAATCCGACGTTTCGCCTGGTAATCTTACTTACTTACGCCTGTTACTCCCAATGGAGCATAGGCCGCCGACCAGCATTCTCCAACCCACTCTGTCCTGGGCCTCCTTTTCTAGTTCCATCCAATTCTTGTTCATTTTTCTCATGTCTATTTCCATTTCTCGGCGTAATGTGTTCTTTGGTCTTCCTCTTTTCCTTTGGCCTTGAGGATTCCATGTGAGGGCTTGTCTTGTGACGCAGTTGGGGCCTGATAATCTAGTTTAATAATTTTGATGTTTGATTATATTTCCTTGAAAAAGCTTGGACTAGATTACCAAGCGAAATGTTGGATTTAATTCAAATCCATTCGCTGAGATTTTACAAATGCATTCTTCCTCTTTAATGTCTCACATCAACTCGGCTCCCAAATACTGTGAAACTATTCAATCAGATTTAGACGAAAGTTCTTATAAATAACCTTACATAAGTGAAGATTCATCTTTTTTACACCTAACTTACTAACTGAAGTTGTTTTTTATTGCTGTAGAACCTAGTCAAGTGTCTCGATTTCTACAAGCTAATTCAGGTCCAGGCTTACAACACATGGGACTCGCCATTGATAACATTATAGATGTAGCAGCTACCTGTCATCAAAATGGTATAAAATTTATCACTGCTCCAGACGTCTATTATGAAGCTGTAAGTTGTCTTGGAAAAAATTCTCAATTCTCATGTTATTAGTCATTTTTATTACGTAGTCCATCAGTAAAGTACCTATTGTTAACAGCCAAACAATCAGATATGGACAACAGTTTATAAGATGCGAATTGACCCGATTTCTCACCTGTACATTAATCACTTCGATCAAAATAATTGTAAACATTGAATGTATTGGCTACTAATCACTAAGTTATCGAGCTGTTGATCGACTCGGTTTTAAGATTGAAATTTATTACTATTTATGGAGTAGATGATGCACTTTGCAAAAACATAAGTACATGAATTTATTTTACTTTGAAATGTAACTCCATGATGCGGAAAAGGTGTTTTCAAATATTATCTGTAATATAATTGTCACTTTTGTTGAGTCTGCGGTCCTACCGCTTATACTTGGAAAACGGAACTACTATTATTCCCACGACTCAAAGTGTTAACATATAAACTGATACAATAAAAGGTTTATTTATCGATTATCCAAAACACGACGTCCACAGAGTCCAATGTCTCAATATAGGGGACTTGGTACTAATATGCGATGGAACGGTGGTTTACTAGGTAAAATACTGGTCGACTAAAGGCTGAAATCCCCCACTACATACGTCGATTTGGGTGGTCTCATAATATTACTAACCTGTCACACAAACAGTGTCTCAAAGCTGAACACCTAAACTCTGATGGACAAACGCTTTTTCTTACCTTTTTTCAGTAGTAATATGAGCTGAAGTAATAAGACAAGAAAACAATTTTCTGAGTATTTATAACCATAAGAGCAAACTTTTTAAAAACATATAGGATGCTTTAATTTTCATATAGCATACTCTTCAGTAAGATTTAGCAAAACCTTTATCGTGGTATTTATTCATGTTCAAACTGGTCAAATGGATCTGTGAGTAATGAGGCTCACGGGATAAACTCAACCAGCAGCTGTAGACGTTGAGTGGTGTAGCTCAGAATTGATCATTCTTTATCTTTCTTTGGATTCTGAATTCTATTAATCGTACATACATATATTTTTGTTTTGATATATATTCTTAATACGTTGTTTCGACTTCTTTAATATTCATTTGTAACTTTAATCTCGTCGTTGTTGTATGTCATGGCAACTTAGACTAATATACATCTATTCTAGGGTCTACGTTGATTATGTCCAGCTGATTAATCTGTGAGTAGTTATCTCTAGACCGTTTTGTCGTTGGATAATAAACACATGTCAGTTAGTATCCGAGTTCAGAGTTGTAATTGAATTCAGTTTAAATCAAGCATTGCTTTCTTCCATATGACAGACTATTATATATTTTTCAAACAAGGCAAAAAATCATTTTGAATAAAATCTGTTTTAGTTATCTCAGCGTATCAACTTGAAAGAATTTTCTTTGGATTTAGAAAAACTTAAAACAACTGGCATACTTGTAGATAAAGAATTAAACAATGAAGGTTATCAAATAGGGTAAGTAAACATAATGAAGATTTTTTTTGTTAAGCCTATACAATTTACCATAATGTTGAGGTTGATGTGAACAGAGAAACAAGAAGCCTTAACAAACAACAGAAGCTATTTTTGAGGACGTTATTTCATTTAATTCAAAGCTTGTAGAATACTAACATTTATTTTTGTCCCTAGTTTATTCTACAGACCATAAGCTTTCTTTTGATATATGATTTATTACCATAACCTTTTTTGTTTCAAAGCTGTTGTAATTTAAACATAATCTTTTGTACTCGATTTTCTACCTTAATCCTCAGTTTTAGACGTAGTTATATTTTCCCAATTGTTTCTGCGTTGTGGTCATGTTAGTCATCTATTTCTTCATGTATCTTTTTACACTAATCTGAATCGGGACCAAATCGGAAAAAAGAATAAATAAAATACTGTTCTAGTTAACTCCTCTTTTCTCTCGGGCGCGCTTGTCAGCTAATCACGTGATAGAATAGTTTTCGTTTCTCTACGCCCAAGCAGTTAGTTTCACTTCGAGCTCACGCTTACTAACCTCAGGGTTAAACCAACCAGTCATCTTGTCAAGGTCTTAATCTAGATTGAGACAAGCTATCTTCTACATATTAGTGGGTAGACAGATCAAGGAAGTAACAGAAGTATTGCTCATGGTAATTTTAACTTAACTGTTAGAACTTATAAATTTCAAATATTACCCTCCATGTTTAAACCTTACTTTATCAAAGTCAATGTCAACAACTGGAAAGTATCACTACATTCTTCATTCACAAAATCGAATGGACTAGCTTGAATATTTGTTTATTGTTTTACCACAACCTATTCTTTTTTAAAAAAAAATTGTTTTATGATTTCACTTATTATCTGTATCAAATTAACTTTGTTTATTTAAACAAATCCTTATATCACTTCATCGTTATCATTAGATTATTATATAGATATTACTCAAGCTAGCTCTTAATATCGTCCATATCACTTTAATGAACAAAGACAAATAAATTTACTCGTATTTATTTTAACAAAGTTAGGCAGTTAAGAATCGAATGGATTTGAAATTTATTGTATACGTTACTGAATAACAAAATGAGAATTCAGCGAGGAAAATTTTTTTTCGACGAAATCATTTACTTAAGCTGTACATTCGTATATATAGTTATATGGAAAAGGTATGTCTATAGAAGGATAGAAAGGATTGTATCACAAAAATGGATTCGAGAATAAATAACAAATGAGCTTAACGTACTAATCAAGGTGTAAGGAAGAACAGAATTTATGGGTCAGATAATAGTCCAGTTGACAGATATGTAGAAAAGCGGCAAATAACAAAGGTCATAATGATAAACTGAAAACTTGTATAAGGTAATAATAATAAATGATTAGAGTTTTTTGTCTGGGCGACATAACACTAAGTCCTGATTTCTCCGAAGACCAGATAATTGAGATTTATGTTCTTTTGTGAGTAATCGATTAATTGCAGGTGTGAAGCTTGCTCAGACAAGGGAGCAGGAATTTTCCTTATGGATCGTCTTGACTATGTTACCAATATATCTTCGATATTATCTGATCCTATCAAATTCTCTATTGAGACCGTTCAAAAAGACACAACTCAAAAAACTGAACAGATGCTAGTTAAAATCTTAAAGAAAATGAAAGATGATTCTATTATCAATTGTGACCTCAATGAACACCTCAAACTACGGGTTCCGTTAAACCAAGACTATATGAACTCCCAAAAGTTCATAAGAATAATGTCCCACTACGTCCTATAGTTGATATGAACAACTCTCCTTATCACTTGATCGCTAAATGGTCAGCTGACATTTTGCAACCTGTTAAAAATCATATCAATAAATACAATTCTCTTGACTCCTTTGAATTTGTCGACTCAATCAGAAATATCAACGTAACCGGTAAGAAAGTGTTCTCGTTAGATGTCACTTCTCTTTTTACAAATGTCCCTCTCACAGAAAGAAAACAATAATCTTGATATGTGTATCCCAAAACATTACCTTAAAGAACTACTACTACGATATACGCTCAACGTGCAATTTAGATTTAATGATGTTTTCTATAGACAAATAGATGGCGTTTCAATGGGCTCTCCATTGGGTCCTCTTTTGGCGGATTGTTTCATGGCTAATCTAGAAAATTCAGTACTTTGACCAATAATTGAGAGATTTCATTTATATGAGAGATATATAGATGATACTTTCATTATTTGTGAAGAAGACATGGACCTCAATGAATTCTTGAATATTTTCAATAATTATCACCCATCAATTCAATTTACCTTAGAAGTAGAGGCAAACCATGAATTTCATTTTCTTGATGTTCGATTAAAAAGAATGTCTGACGGATTTTAACAAAGATCTATATACTGAAAACCAACGTGGAATGGACAATACAAGAACTTTCATAGTTGGGTTCCATTAAGCAGAAAAAGAAACTTTATTCACTCTTTATCCTCTAGGATCAAGCGAATCTGTTCTAATGACACAACAGATGGGGAACTATTTCATCTTTGATAGCAACTTGGCACCCAGACTTCATGACGAAACATCGACAGTAGAGAAGAAAACTCTATTTATGAATATGGAAATTAAAGGAGACACGGCCGCTGAAATCCTAAATAAACGGATTTCGAGATCATTGAAAAAAACATTATACGCAGCGAAGCTCCGAATCCTTTTCTCTTTCCGACCTACCATTATGGGGGTGTTAAGAACAAACTTCCGCTTTGGACCACATCGATGTGCATATATAAATTTACTTGCTCATGTGGGGCAAGTTACATAATCCGCACAAAGCGATGATTGTCCGAACGCATCGCGGAACTTTATCCAGTCTGGCTCTATTAAAAGGGGAACAATCACTAGTTCGATACAGGAGCACTTAATCATCTGTGGACACATCGCTCCAAAAGGACTCTTCATTTAAGGTAGTCTACAGAGTCAAAGGAACTGGATCGAAGGGGGTTCGAATCAATATTTTATGCACCGCAGAGGCATTGGCAATCCACAAACTCAAGCCTGGACTTTGCGTGCAGAAATTATTTGTCCAACCTCTCATCCTTCCTTGGCCTTAATTCCTTTAATGGGTATGTTTCGGTGTTGTTTTTTTGTTGTTGTTTTTCTGCACTTTCATTTAATTACTATCGATATTTTTAAAATTACTATTTCGCACTTTAAACTCTAATCATTTATTATTATTACCTTATACAAGTTTTCAGTTTATCATTATGACCTTTGTTATTTGCCGCTTTTCTACATATCTGTCAATTGGACTATTAGAACAACACATATAAGCGAACAATTGTTTTCAATTAGATCGTCAACAGGCTTTACTCTAATATACATGAATATTGGACTATTATCTGACCCATAAATTCTGTTCTTCCTTACACCTTGATTAGTACGTTAAGCTCATTTGTTATTTATTCTCGAATCCATTTTTGTGATACAATCCTTTCTATCCTTCTATAGACATACCTTTTCCATATAACTATATATACGAATGTACAGCTTAAGTAAATGATTTCGTCGAAAAAAAATTTTCCTCGCTGAATTCTCTTTTTCTTATTCAATGACACTATGGGTTATTTTAAGTATACGTTACTATTGTATGTTTATTTGTGAGTATTTTCTTTTCTTTTGTGAAAGAATGAGCTGTGGTTTTTGTTGTTGGAAAAAAGTGAAAATTTCTGTTAATTAAAGTTTAGGTTTCTTGTTTACGAGTTTGAAAGTATAATCAGTTTAAAAATAGTATAAATATATTTAAAACAGGAAATACTTTTTGGACTTCCCAAACCCTATGTCTAATGACTTGCGACAATAAAGAGATTAGTGAGGTTTATTTTCTGTTGTATGCATTATCGGAACTTTATTTATTTTAACATATAGATATTGTTACAAGGAGGCACCAAATACATATGCGCCACACAAACCTCATTCGTTATGTGTGAGGGCTGTGATACTGCCCTGGTGCTCAAACCGAAGCAGGTTGTTTTCTTAGGGGGCCACACTCGGAGCCTCCGACCTGAAAGTCTGATCCACAAGGCAGTGGAGCATTGTCCCATGGAAGCCAGTGACCAACAACTGGTTCATACGCCATTTGTTCCCGCAGGATACTGGAGCCCTTGTGCACCATTGGTTTGGAATCCGGTTAAAGCGCCGGACATTCGCTTTTCGTGCTCTCATTTTCGTAAACATCACCCCCGCCACGAGAAGGTAGTGAGTAGGACTTCCATGGCAGGGGCTATATATGCGTAGTTATGTGAGGGCATTTCGAGAGTGAGAGCGGACTCTCCCTACTCTCGGCCGTACCAGGGCATTTGGGGGCATTATCCAAACTACAATGAATGGATCATAATTTTCAATCTATCTGTTGTATCTTAATATGTTCATCTGCTTAACCAACCATACTTCGTTTTTCTTTCTCCTTTTTCTCATACATGAATATTTAGAAGTCTACTACAAATATTTACTGAACCATTGTTTCAGAAAGATGGGTTTTTCATGGAATTAATTGAACGTCGTAATCAGTCAACTGGTTTCGGTGAAAATAATATCAATGCTTTATGGGAAGCATTGGAAATATCACAAACATTGTAAAATTATTTAGTCAATTGTATACCATCAGTTTAATATTTCATTTTTAGTCAGTTATGTTATAGAGTATCATATTGTTTTCTTTATCCCACTGTTTATCGCCTCGCTTTCCATCGGCACTTGAGAAATAAGATGCAGTTTTATACTTAATTAACAGAGAACAACAGATATAGACTGAAAAAAATTAATACATGGTTCGAATATGTAATTGTTGTCTTATTTTCAGTTTAATATTTAAAGGGAAATGTAAAAGGTAGTTTTCGTCACGAATGGACTGTATAAATCCTACTTTGCATCTTTTCTATGCACTTGCTCCTGTAAACACTTGTAAATGTGTAAGTCTAATTGGATGCAATATTTGTATAATTATCAGAAATCTAGCATTACATATTTATTAACAACTGAATACACTCTCTATCTTACCGAATAGATTGGTTTTGGTTACGTAAACTATGTTTAATGCTTGATAGTTCTATTTCTATACAATAATATTCAGTTCTGTGGAGTTAATAAAATAAGGTTAGGAATAATGTAGGAAAGATTTTCTTTGTTATCATGCTAAACATACTATAAATAACAGAGAACTGTTTGGCGAGTCGAACCAGTTAGCTTCATTCAAAATATAGGTTCATTTAATAGATTTTACTGTTTTCTTCTTAACATTTTTACAGTTTCTGAATATTAGTAGATAGCATTCGAATTTTATCTCCGGTTATTTTGTTTTGTAAGGAACTTATCAACAGAATGTAATTGCACCATAGTAATTTAGAACATTAACGTAAGTCAGTGGGAAATTTTAAATCACCAATCTACTTCGTCGAAGAAGCACTAATAACTATGATATGTAGTCAGAGGTCTGATTTCTTAAAAATAATGCATACTCACAAGTGTATTTGAGTAGTATCACTCATTGACTGTGTTTTATTAAAAATGAATTAAGAAAAAAAACATTTCCAGTTTATATTTATTGGTTGTTTGAATCTTCCCATTAATGTTTAGGATTACAATTGACCACCCGTTTTTAGCATATGTGGCTTTTGTGCGGATTGCCTCGATATTATCCTTAATTCACGAGTATTATGACCAGAGGTGAGGGATGTCTATCAGTGGGGTCCAGGACTCACGTTTCGTCCCGTTTGCGACTCTTCAGTCGGATGTACCTGCATCTCAGCGTTAACGTCCATTTCCGAACTTAGAGCTTATGACTTTGTAGCAACATTGTTTCAGATAGTTTATCCTCTTTTGTTACTTGGTGTTTCTTTCATCTAAAAAACGTCCAAACTGTCTTTAATATGTCTAAGTTGTCATTAGTCTACCGATTCGGATGTAATCTTTTAAACGAAAGTAACAATGTTTTCGAATATCAGTAACATGACAAATAATATGAATATAAAGAAAGTTTGACCATCAACTAGTTAAATAACTCGAAAATAAGTAAGAATTAACTATACGATGTGTCTTAAGGTTTGTAATTTTCGGTAAATTTGAATTCTAATCCCCAGTGCTATCCATGATACCTTCTTTGCCCTATTCGAAAGTTGTCAAATGAGTGTACCTTCATTCTGAGGTTTGCATTTATGCTGAGTCTTGAGCCCTGAAGCTATCACTTCAAGTGCCAACGGATTATGTGTGAGCGAATGATCACTAGTTCAACCGAAATTATAATGCATTTGTTGACATACCTAGCTACTCATCATGTTCCTCATTACAAAGTTTTAGTTACAAATTCTAGTGTCTTTAGCTTGCAGGTAGCAGTGGGATCTAGTGTCTGCGTTTCTTTTTATTTGAGATTGATCAGATGAATGTAAATTGACCCTAGAGTTCTCATAATCGGGGACCCAATATTCTTTCTGTAGTAAAATGATCGTCCTGCAATCTACTACCGACGTTTTTTAAATTTGAAATTCGCGAATTGTATCTTCGGTATAAAACATTAAATGATCCTTAAACCTACTAAAGTGTATCGATACCCTTCTAAGATCACTTCCAATTGTGTTTATAAATGTATATGTGCTCTTAATGACAAGTACATAAGAAGGACTATAAGAAAAGCACTTAAAGGGCTTTCTGAACATATTCCTCGAAAACGGGAGAAATGTAGTGCTTACAGGTGCATTCACAAGACATTTCATGGACAGTGGACAAAGTGAATATCACATGGACGTTTAAAATACTTAACTAGCACGGAACAATTCTTTGTACAAGAATTTGACATCAAGGGATTTCAACGTGACCCTTGTATACAGAAAGAAAGTACAGTAAACCTATCGTTGACATGGTGAAATAATTATATCGTTGTAGTGTGCCAAGTGCATAATCCCTTTAATTTATATTTTAAACATTCGGCCTTATTATTGCCCATTTACTATGAAAGTTGCGTTCTTCATTTTATATCCCGGTTATTATTTGTGATATCACTCCTTTCTTTAAACGACTTCATCTTCAGCACATGAGTACTAATTAATCTTAACTATTGCACTAATTATGTTGTTATCTCTTCTAGTTTTTGGTGGTTTTATTTTTCGCTATCGCTTCAAATCCAAATTTATTGAATAAAAATAAAGAGCATTCAGCGAAGAGAATTACCTTTTCGATTTAATCATTCACTTAGACTGTAGATTTTTATCTATAATTGCTTGATAAAGAAGGAACCGATTTGGAAAATTTCTTCATATGTACACTAGAGCCATTTATACTATCATATTGACATAAATATTTTATAATCAGTCATTTGTACTTCTATTGATAATGCTTCTTCTGTTTCGGTACAACCTTAATGGGATAATTCTTAGTATTTTCGTTTTGATAACTAAAGTAATTACATTACTTCCTTCAAAATGAACTAAACTATAAACAGGCAGATCAGTTATGTTATATGTAATCATAGAAATTCTTGATATTCTATGGTAATTCAGCTTGTATCTAATTGAAATAAAGTGTTGTCTGGCATTAGTTAAATCTCCAACTCATTAACAAGGATTTTTGTCAAGGAATTTATTATGATAAACGATGGTCAGTTGGATATTGAGCAGTCAGAAAGATTATAAACTATAATCATTAAATGTGTTGTTAGGTATTGATAAATGATGACAGTCCTCAAACTGTCAAATAAATTGGTTTATAATCATGGGTTTTTTAATTATGATAAAGAATTTTTCTAATCCCACAGTTTATCTGTAAACATTTTATGCACAGTTGATTTGACATTAAAGCTTTCTTCAAGAAACTTGTTGTGTTTCACTCATTTTTTTCAACAGTTATTCTTACGGTCAAGCGATATCAATTAGTACTTTTATTTGTAGAAACCAAAACGGTTCTTTCCTTCATTTAGAGATGAGTTCACTAGCCAATTATTCTGAAAATTTTAGAATAGAAAGTTAGGTTTTTTATATCATTTAACTTTCGTTTAGTCTCTATGTAGTTTTCAAATGGATGATAAATTTAATAGACGATAATTAATGTAATGTTCTGATGTCGTAGCGGTAACAAAAACTTTTACTCACCTACAAAATATCCGTAATCAGTTAGGTAGAACATTAATAATACTAACAAAATATCTCCTCACTACGTGATAAATACACTGATTAATTACGTCGACACGAAATCTTCGGAATTCAACATTAATCAATAATGCTTTATATGATTATTCGGAACACTTTTCACATGTACATAATTTTAATTATCATGTTCTGAAACCTGGTCAAGTTCAATTATCTTATAAAAATTATGCTTACATTTAGTGTAAACTACTAATCATAGTAATTTCAATATTCAATGAATGCATTCTGAAGAAAAGAAAACTAGTTAGTATTTATTTCATGTGAAAATAATGAATATTTTCCATTTACCTTGTCTATTATACACGCATCATTTGCACCACAAAATATTTGATAATTTCATAACAGTCATGTCAAGTTTTTCCACTACTCAAGAGACACTTTTAATTGAGAATGTAGATACGTTAAGTTTTGTGTCAAACAAATATTTCCATAAGAAAATATATAAAGATGTTACATAATATATTTCTTTAAAGTATTTCTTAATATTTGAGTAACAATCTACTCAGTTTTTTAAATGTGAATAGAACTAAAATGGACCTCAGTTACATGGGAGATTTTGTTGAAAAGATAGAAATTGATGAGTTTGTACTGCATTGATAAGCCATTACAATATTAACCATATATTTAACACAGATTATATTGATTAGTAAAGTTTTAAATACCATAAAGGAAACAAGTTATTTCTTATCAATTTATTACACTGAATATGAAAGGTCATTTAAATTTTTCCATTTAATTAATCAGGTCAAAGTGATATCATATTTGGTCTTTGTCATACAGCCAGTTATGTGCATCTAGATCCCAGACACTTAATGGTTTATGAAGTTAGACTAACGATCCAGTCAGATAACGCTTATTTTTTGAATTTTACAATTATTCTTGTTTAATATGATTTGGTCTTTCTTTCACTCATTTACAAAACTCTTTAGAAATATTAAAAAAGGGATATTAAGTCGCATCCCCACATCCTGGAACACTCATAATTAAGTAATCACAGAATAAAGGTTAAGGTTTTCCTACCTTAAAGATTAGGGGTGAATACCATATTAATTAAAGAAGTCGGCAAATATCATGACTCAGAATATCAGTAGATATCATTTTGGCGTTTGAAGCTCTGTGCACTGAGCTTATGCTTCAGGATGAACGAGAAACTAAGATATGCATACATTCTGATAATCAATTTTTAATATAGAAGTATACAATAGCGGTTAATCAAAGATATAGTTATCCCACTAAGTTCAAATTCTCTTTCGTGTCACTTAAAACATGGTTAAGTAATAACAAGCTTATTTCGAAAGGCTCAAACGAAAACGCAATATTTTTATCTTAATGTAAACTACAACAACAGAGAGAAGTACTTGCAAATCTACATGGTGAGCTCCGAAGTTTGTTTTTATCGTGATTACGAGAAGAAAAGTGACGCCATATTTAAGTTTGGTATTG